TGTAAACGCTGCCCAAGGTGACGCAGTTTCCATGGCCGAGCTGCTGGACAGAGCTCAGCAGGCCAGAGAGAGAATGGTGACACTTTTCTATTGGTTTAAGGTAGAGATTCACAGTCCAACATAAATGATAGAAATTGGTGCAGAAATTGTAAACACACCCAGGTAGTTTTGAGTTTATAATGCAGGAGCTGCCCAGGCCTCAGGGCAGATGGCCACGGTGGATTTGCTCAGAACTCAGCAGGTCAGAGAAAGAATGTTTAGATAAAAAGAAATAAACAGCATTTAAAGCACAATTGGAAACATTCCAGGCTCCTCCTTTGGCTGCGTTTGGGCCAGGGAAGCAAAGATTCTTTACGATCTCTTTTGGGATCACCCTGACCTAAAGGAACCCCGAGAGAGAAATCCACACCCCTGAAATGGAAAAATGTAAACCCCCTTTCCTCCAATTGTTACAAATTTGAAATTAAGGGGGGCTTTCAGGCAAGAATGTGGGGCAGGAATAACAGATCTTTAAAAATATAAAATAAACAACGCAGTGAACCAAAACAACAGTGACAGAGTCAGAACACAACCCGACACTCTGTTGGTCAGGCCACAGTCCAGTTGGAATTGTGGCTGCAGTCCTCCTGGAGTATCAGGTGTGGAGGGTTTTTATTTATTTAGTTAGTTTATTTCTTCTATATTTTGTTATTATATATTGTTTATTTATTTATTTAATTGTGGGGTTTGGGGGTTTTAATTGTATCTTATTTATTTTATTTATTCTATATATTATTTATTTATTTTTGTATGCATGTTTATTTATTTTAATGAATTAATTTTATTTATTCTATATATCGTTGAAAGGGGAGCAGGAATTCCATCCTTGAGCTGAGTGCAAAGGGCTCTGGGTGAATCCTGGGATTCAGCTGGGGCTGGAATGAGAAATCTGCATTTCCTGCCCAAAGGGTTCCAGTGCAGGAGTTTGCAACAAATTTTTGGTGCCTCTTTCTCATTTTCTGTTTAGAGCTCTGGTAAATGCATGAATTGCTCAAATAGTACCCAAAAAGTGAATGGATAGCCTGCTAAAAGTAATAATAATAACAATACCACTAGTAATACCACTAGTAATACCACTAGTAATAATACTAGTACTCGTACTAATACTAATGCTAACAATACTAACAATACAAATAATACAAATAATACAAATAATACAAATAATGCAAATAATACTAATAATACTAAAACTAATACTAATACCAATATTAATACCAATACTACTACTACTACTACTACTACTACTACTACTACTACTACTAATAATAATAATAATAATAATAATAATAATAATAATAATAATAGAAGAAAGTGAAGAAGAGTAACAGAAGAAGGAGAAGGAGGAGGAAAAGAAGAAGAGGAATAAAAGAAGATCAAAGGAAAAGTAGAAGGAGGAGGAAAAGAGGAAGAAGAAGGAAGAAGAAAAGAAAGAAAGAGAAAAAAGGAGGAAAAGAAAAGGGAGAAGTGTCATGAACTCCTGTGCTGAAAAACCCCTGGAAAACCAGAGAAGAAAGAAGAGATGACTCTGTCTCTTCTCAACTCGGGGTTGGGATTTCTCAGAGGGAAATTTGGGATTGGGATTTCTCAGAGGGAAAATCGAGATTGGGATTTCTCAGAGGGAAAATCGGGATTGGGATTTCTCCGAGGGAAAATTTGGATTGGTATTTCTCAGAGGGAAGCTCAGGATTGGGATTTCTCAGAGGGAAACTCGGGGTTGGGATTTCTCAGAGGGAAAATCGAGATTGGGATTTCTCAGAGGGAAAATTGGGATTGGGATTTCTCAGAGGAAAACTCGGGATTGGAGAGGTTTGGGCCGAGCTGTGGTGACTCCACAGAGCCGAGCTGGGGCTGTGACATTCACGGGATGTTTATGGCATCATCCTCGGCCTGGGGACCCCTGGAAAAGCTGGAAAATGATGCCTTGGGAAGGCACATGGGGCTGGAGCTGGGAAAAACAAACCCCCTCTGAGTTACCCCGCCTTCCTCCTCTCCTGCCTTTGCTTTCTTTCCTTATTTATTCTCTGCCCCGGGTGATTATTTACACTCCCAACAGTCGTGCCATGAACTTTCCCCACTTCCTCCACTTTGTTCCAGGCTGGATTTGGAGTTGTTTTCAGGGGATTTCCTTCCCTGACGCTTCCAAAGCCACCCCTCAGGTCACTTTTCCAGGGTGTCCCATCCCAATCTGGTTCATTTTGTTGGGTTTCCATCCCTTTGACACCCCATTTGCAGCCCAGCGCGTTCCTGTGAGCTCTGCACACGGAATTTCCTGGGAAAATGGATTTTCCACAACTCTTTGGTGGGATTTAGGGTGAGGGGCAGAACGGAGGGGGTTCCCAATCCAGAACATTTCGGGAGTTGAGCGCCTGGAGCAGCGTTCTGAGCCTGGGTTCGCTCAAGCACTTCCATTTGTTTACAGAGATTATTTTCATTTCTGCTCTGGGCCCTGGGCAGACACACAAAAGAGAATTCAAAGGGAATAAAAAGGGAATAAAAGCCTCTTAACCAGAAGAGTTTTGATGCTCCTGGAGCATCTCAGCAGTGCAATAAATCCCAAATAAGTTCCCCCCCCTGCACCCCAGAGCTGCTCTGGGGTCGGCGCAAGGAGAGGGGAAAATGCTGAGATTTGGATTGGGGCTGGAGCAGCTCTTGGAATAAGGGAAATACCCTAAATAAACATCTGAGCCTCCTTCAAAGGGCGTCTCTGGGCACAAACCGAGGTGACTTTGGGTGGGGTGAGGCTGTCAGGAGCTTTCCTTGTCTGCAGCTCTGGAATTCCCCTCTCCCAGGGACGCTGCAGGGGTGGGGGCAGGTGGGAGCCTCCCACTGCTGGGGCTCCGGGGTTTTTTTTTTTATTATTCCCCTTTTATTCCCCTTTTTAATTTCCTTTTTCTTTTTTTTTTTTTTTTTTTTTTTTTTTTTTTTAATAAAAACGCCTGAATACACTGCAGGTTTGGGCTAGTTTTATTTTTTATTTTAACTTTCCCATTTTTCCCCCCCAGCAGCTCTGCCAGCAGCAGCAGATCCCGACGCGTCCCAGCCCAGGTGAGACAGAGCTCGGAGCGACCGAATCCAGGAAAATTCTCCTTTCCTGTGGAAGGGGGGGTGGAACGAGATGAACTTCGGGGTCCCGTCCCACCCGAACCATTGGGGCATTTTAGTGTAATAATAATAACATGTATAATCATATATGTATACTAATACCTGTATACATTATACATGTATAATAATAATATTCATGTATAATATACATAATAATAATATATACACGTATACATTATACATGTACAATAATAATAGCATGTATAATAATATATGTATAATAATACATGGAACCTAATATATGTATACATGTATACATTATACATGTATAATAATAATAACATGTATAATAATATATGTATACTAATACATGTATAAATGTATACATTATGAATGTATAATAATAATAATAAACATGTATAATACACATAATAGTAATGTAGACACATATACATTATACATGTATAATAATAGCATGTATAATAATATATGTATACTAATACATGGACACTAGTACATGTATACATTATACATGTATAATAATAATAATAATAATAATATACATGTATAATATACATAATAATATTGTATCTATTTATACATGTGTAATAATACACATGTATAATATACATAATAATAATGTATACACGTATACATTATACATGTACACTAATACACGTATACATTATGCATCGATAATAATAATATACATGTATAATATACATAATAATAATATATACACGTATACATTACACATGTATAATAATAATATACATGTATAATATACATAATAATAATATATACACGTATACATTATACATGTATAATAATAATAACATGCATAATAATATATGTATACTAATAATGTATACACATGTATAATAATAACTGCACGTATAATAACAACACAAACACCTTAATGAGTAACACGGAAGGCGCCGAGAAGATGAAAATTAATCTCTTTATTTATCAATTCCAGCGGCTGCGATGTACAGAGGGGGGTGGGGGCGGTCCGGGGGAGTGTCCGGGGCGTGTCCCGGGGCGTGTCCATGGGCGTGTCCCGGGGCCTGTCCCGGGGCGTGTCCCGCGCTCCCCGCCCGCCACGCGCGGAGGACGCGGCCGTTCCCGCTCGGTGCCGCCACCGCGATGTCCTGCCCGGCTCCGGAGCCCGACAGGTGAGCGGGGCTGGGCTCCGTGCGCTCCCCGTGTCCCCCCGAGTGTCCCCCCGAGTGTCCCCCCAACATCCCCCCGCAGCCTCCCCGCCCCACCCCGGCGGGGGCTGCGCGGCGTCTCCCGCCACCCTCCCCGCTTTGTCGCCTCCCCTTGTCCCCATACGCCCCCTTCACCCTCCCGTTGTCCCCCTGCACCCCCTCCTTGTCCCCCTGCCCCTCCCGTTGTCCCCCTGCCCCCCCAGCCCCTCCCCTCGCATCCTCCCATCCCCCACCCCCTGCATCTCCCGCATCCTCCCGCTCCTCCATCCCCTCCCGCCCCCTCCCCATCCGCGGCCACCGAGCCCGGGGTGTCCCTGCGGTGCCCAAATCCCTTCCCCGGTGCCTTTGGGGGTTCCCCGGTCCGGCCGTGCACCTGCGCCCGCGGGGGCTCCGCGCACCGGCCGCGAACAAAGCGGCGCTGCCGCTCCGCCCCGCTTCCCTCCGCTTTCCTCCGCTTCCCTCCGCGCTTCCCTCCGCTTCCCTCCGCTTTCCTCCGCTTCCCTCCGCGCTTCCCTCCGCTTCCCTCCGCTTTCCTCCGCTTCCCTCCGCGCTCCTCCGCTTCCCTCCGCTTCCCTCCGCGCTCCTCGGCTTCCCTCCGCGCTCCCTCCGCTTCCCTCCGCTTCCCTCCGCTTCCCTCCGCGCTCCCTCCGCTTCCCTCCGCGCTCCTCCGCTTCCCTCCGCGCTCCCTCCGCTTCCCTCCGCGCTCCTCCGCTTCCCTCCGCTTCCCTCCGCTTCCCTTGCCCGCCTGGCTGAATTGGGCTTTTTGTTTTTGGGTTTTTTGGTTTTTTTTCTTTTCTTTCTTCTCCCCTCCCCGGCCGTTTCCGCGCGCGCGGGAGGAGGGAAATGCGGCTGGAGGGGTTTGAGGGAAGCGATGCCGACTTAGCAAGCCACCACTTGGTGAAAAAAAGGGTTGGACAAACATTGCTGCCGGCCCTGGAGAGCATCCAGGCTCCAGATAAATAAATTTACTTCTTTTTTTTTTTTTTTTAAGATACAGTTTGGAACAGCAAATTGTTGTGTAATTCCTTGTGGGGGTGGGGGGGGGAAAGAAAAGCTTTCCCACTTCTTCCTGCCCTTGACCCAGAAAGTTTTGCAGCCCCTTTGCTGTGTTTTGCCAGGATCACCCAGCTGGCATCGCTTCCCTCAGGGAATCCTCACTCGTTGATTTTCCTGCCTCTGCCATTCCCATCTCTTTATTTCTTGTTCAATTCTGTGGCTGAGTGCCCCGGTGTGGCCTCCTTGGTGATGCCCACTCATTCCAGGAGCTCCCAGGATGGCCAAAATCAGCCCCCAGAGCTGAGCAGCTCCCACAGCTCGGCTCCACCATCCCCAGCATCTCTGGGATTGCGCTGTGACCTTCACACCTCCAAAAAAAACCAAAAAAAAACATTTAAAAAGGGCTGGATGATGCTTCCCTGCCTGCTCTTGCAGCTGCCCCTTGGCAGGGGGGAGGTTCTGGGATATTCCCTGATGCCACCACAGTGCAGCAGAGCTGGATGTCACCTGCTGGATGTCACCTGCTGCTTTATGGTGTCTGCACCCAGGGCCGTTCCCTTCCTCAGGGCAGCTTTTCTGTGCTGGATCTGCCTGACAGATGTCGTGGAGCTCCTGGAGAAGCTTCCCAAACAGGATTTGAACCTGCTCAAGTGACACACACAGCGGGTTTCCCCTTCCCAGGGTGGGTGGAGGTTGCTGTGGGTTTGCCACAGATGGCTCTGCTGGGGAACAGAGTTTATCTGTCCCTCCTGCCTGCCTGGAGATTGGTTGGATCGCTCCCAAACCCAACGGGCGCTTGGCACGGGCTCCTGGTGTTGGCAGGAGGGGCTGGAAGCAGAGCTGCTGCCAGTGGGAATTGTCCAGCAGAGCCAGGTGTCCCCAAAAGGACAGGAGGGAGCCAGAGCTGGGGGATGCTGCAGGAGGTGAATGTTGTGAATGTTGAATCCCCCATGCCAGGGCAGCTCCCAGATTCCCGGGAGCGATGCCAGGGGAGGGAGTTGGGAATGCTGCCCCTGAGGAGGCGTGGGAAAGGGTGGCAGAGTTCTCATGTGTGCCTGCTTTTGTCTTCCAGCGGGGCAGAGTCCCTCTCCTCGGATGAAAAAGGTACAGGGATTTTTGGGAAAATGGGAATTTTGAAACCGGCTTTAAAAGCCAGTGCCAGAAAAAGTACACTGGTTTTGGGATGTGCCCATCTTTGGGAATGGGAATTCTAAAATTGGCTTTAAAAACCAATTGAAAAGGTACAGGGATTTTGGGAAATGCCCATCCTTTGGAATGGGAATGGGAATTCTATAACTGGCTTTAAAAACCAATTGAAAAGGTACAGGGATTTTGGGAAATGCCCATCTTTGGGAATGGGAATGGAGATTCTAAAACTGGCTTTAAAAACCAGTTGAAAAAGCACAGGGATCTTGGGAAGTCCTCATCCTTGGGAATGGGAATTCTAAAACTGGCTTTAAAAACCAATTGAAAAAGTACAGGGATTTGGGGAAATGCCCATCTTTGGGGATGGGAATGGAAATTCCAAAACTGGCTTTAAAAACCAGTTGAAAAGATGCAGGGATTTTGGGAAATGCCCATCCTTTGGAATAGGAATGGGAATTCTATAACTGGCTTTTAAACCTTGGTGTACACCCTTTGTTTATGGGTTACTTTGGTTTTTATGCTAGGCTTTAAAATGTCTGTTCTATTGTTATTTATTCCCTTTCTCTGAGTACAGAATTGGCAAGAGAAGTGTGAAATCCTGCTCAGACTTTTATTTAATTTTACTCCCTGCCTTTCTCTTGCAGAGGTGACACCCAATGGCTTGGAGGGGTCGGGATCGGGATCGGCCGAGGAGCACCCGGAGGGTGAGGCCACCACGGCTCAGGGATTTCCTCACTCCTGGGGTGGTCCTACATCCCAGATTTCCCCCCAGCCACATCCCAAAACACATCCCTGGCTTTCCAGTGCTGGTTTCTGTTCAAATGATGTTTGTGAGAATAATGAATGGGTTGGTGCCTCCACGCGAGTCTCACCTGGTGGGACACACGGCTCCCACCAAGGCTGCTCCCACCTGCCCTGGAAAACCAGAATTTCACTGGGATGTGCCATGGGTGGAGCTCCAGAATTATCCCAGGTTTTATAAAACATGAGAATTCAATATTCTGAGCACCCTTCAGAAGGGCTGGGTGACCCCAGAGGCTCTCCTGGGGTTGGATTTGATGCTCTGATGTTTTTCTCTGCTTCAATGTTTCTTTGTTTTCCTGTTCCATTATCTATCCTGCTGCCTGCCCTGCTGGATCCAAACCTCTGGATGGATCCTGGACTCACATTCCACCTGTGCCTGTTTTTAAGGAGAAGCCAGCTCTGAAGACAGCTCCAGCAGCAGCTCGGAAGAGGAGTCAGGTGAGCAGGACATTGTGATTTATTTACCTGTAATCCCTTTTTTAAAACTGATGTTCAGTTTAAACCAGCTGCCTCTCCTGGGTATAATCTCACAGTTATTAGGGAATGCTAACTCTGACTGTTTTCCCAATAAAATTTTGGGAGCAAATGATTTTCTGTCGGTGGTCAAAGGGCAGCAGCTCAGAAGAGGAGTCAGGTGAGCAGAACATTATGATTTATTTATCTTTCTAAAACTGATGTTCAGTCTCAACCAGCTGCTTCTCCTGGGTATAATCTCACAGTTATTAGGGAATGCTAGCTCTGCTTGCTTTCCCAGTAAATTTTTTGGGATCCAGTGATTTCCTATCACTGATCAAAGGGCAGCAGCCCGTGCTGCTTTCACCCTGCAGACACAATACCCACGGATATTTTTACACCACAGCAGTTGTCCAAACACCAAGAGGCCATAAATTTCCTCCAAAGTTGGCAACAGACCTGGCCAAACAGGATGGACAGGAAATAATGCAAGGAAGTGTTTGCTGCTGGTGGGTTTGTGCTTCCCTGGGATTTGCTGCCAGCAGTTATCCTGGGTTTATGTAACACTGATAATTTAACAATCCCAACGTTTTATTCTGGGCAGATGCAGAGGATGGGGGGGAGGAAGGCTGGGTGAGTGTGGTTTGGTTTTGTCCCTGTTTTCCCCTGCTGAGGAGGGGATGAACAATGCCCGAGGGGGGTGTGGGGTGGCAGGGAGGATCCCGGGCTGGCCCAGCCATCAGCTCCATCTCTTTTGGGAAAAAGATGCTGGAGAGGGGGATGAGGGCTGGAGCCAGGAGCTCCCAGGTGCAGGGAGTGTTCCTGGTGCTGTTCCAGCCCTGCTGAGCTGGGGCTGGGACAGCAGGGCTGGGGCACACAGCCAGTGCTGGCTGCTGCCTTCCCTGCCCCTCCCAGCTCCAGGACAGCCTGGGACAGCCTCCAGGATCCCTTTTTATTTTTTTGGGATGGAGAAATCAGCTGATCTTGGCAGCTCTGCCACTCCCCTGCTCCCAAATCCACCCCTCAGGACACAGCTTTTGGCCTGAAGTGTCAGCTCTGCTGGAATTCCATCCTGTTGGATTCAGCCAGGAGAGTCCAGGCACTTTAAAATCATTTTAGGGACAAACACCCTGCAGAAAATGTGGTGGTTTTTTTGGGAAAGCTGTTCCCAGTTTCCATGGCAGGGGCTGAACTTTGTCCTTGGAACCTTGGTACCGTGGAGCTCATCCCAGGATAAAACTTTTTTTTTTGGAAAATTTGTATCCTGATGTTTAGCTTCACACCCAGGCTGTGCAAAGCCTGCAAGGACTCTCAGGAATGTTCTCCTGAGGTGGATTTAGGCAAATGAAACTGTGGGGTTGTCCTGGGTGAATGTGGGAGCAGAAACCCCCTGGGCATTGAGATATTTCCTCCAAATTCCTTTTTCCTAGATGAAGAACAGGAGGAGAAGGAATCCCCACCTTACTGCAATGAGTCAGGTAGGAACAGATCTCCTCAGGGCTTTTTAAAATTTTTTTTTTATTCCTGGCTGTTTAATTATTTGGCTTTTCATGAGCTCATCTTCCTCTTTTCCCACTAGGAGGGAGCTGCTTGCCATCCTGTGAGCACTGCAGGAATGAAAATGTAGGTTTGTGAGGGAAAAAAAACCCCCACCCACTTATTTTGCATGAGATCATTTGCAAACTGTAGTTCTACTCTCTCCTCACCCTTTTAAAGACAATTTTTTAAAAATCTATTTCCAGGACCAGATGGAGCAAGTGACCCCCAGGAGACTCGCTGGAGGACAATTTATGTATGAATTTTTTTCATGTAATGGGTTTGAGTTGCATTGTTCACATCAGGGTGCTTCAGTCTTTGGTTGAAGTGGGCAAACAGCTCATTTGGTGCACAAACACATTTGGGGCCACACAAATCCTTAAAAATCACAGTTTAGAGCCTGTGCTGCCTCCAGATCCCAGTCCAGGGCAGCTCCTGGGAGGGTTTTTCAGCCTGGTGTGGCTGCAGTGACGACCTGCAGACCCATTGTTATGTGCTCCTTTCAGCCTGGATGCACTCGAGGCATCCTGCCCTGCTTCTCCCTCCCCTTTAGCCCTGCATTTTCCCTGGGATGCAGCACTGTGTCCCTCTGTCTGCCCTGGCACGGTCCCTGTGGGATGTCCCTGGCTGCTCTCCCTGCTGGGTGTTGATGTGGGATGTGACACCGAGCCCTGTGTGTGGCAGCAGCTCCTGGCACAGGAAGTTTTGTGCAAAACCTTCCTTTTATGCAAAACCTTCCTTTTATGCAAAACCTTCCTTTCATGCAAAACCTTCTTTTCCAGCTGATTTGCTGAGGGCTGGGCTCTCGGTGTCATGGTTAATGAAAATGATTTGCTGTGAGATCAGGAACAGAGCAGAGCAGGCCCAAGCTTAATAACAAAGGAAAAACTTTATTACCACTACCATAAAAGGGAAAAGAAAGAAAAAAAAACCCGACTAAATCTGAAATGGAAACCTTCTAAAACATTCGGTGGGGTTTTTTTTAACCCCTCTGTGTTCTCAGAGGCGTGTCCAGCCTTCAATTGGTCAGCCCAAGTGCCAATATCCAACCCCAATCACTGCCTGGCTTAACCCTCTGCCAAAAAAATCCCCTTCCATGTCAAACCACGACACTCCCTCATGTTTAACAGCCCAGGGACAGCTCCAGAGCAGCCTGGAGTGCTTTTTAATAGCCCAGGGACAGCTCCAGAGCAGCCTGGAGTGCTTTTTAACAGCCCAGGGACATCTCCAGAGCAGCCTGGAGTGCTTTTTAACAGCCCAGGGACAGCTCCAGAGCAGCCTGGAGTGCTTTTTAACAGCCCAGGGACATCTCCAGAGCAGCCTGGAGTGCTTTTTAACAGCCTAGGGACAGCTCCAGAGCAGCCTGGAGTGCTTTTTAACAGCCCAGGGACATCTCCAGAGCAGCCTGGAGTGCTTTTTAACAGCCCAGGGACAACTCCAGAGCAGCCTGGAGCATCTGTGGGTCGGGATAAAGTGGGAAGAGGTCACTGCTGATCCTGGCACTGCTCATCCTGGCACTGCTCATCCCTGGCAGCTCCCAAGTGACAGCTCCAGAGCATCCTGGAGTGCTTTTTAACAGCCCAGGGACAGCTCCAGAGCAGCCTGGAGTGCTTTTTAACAGCCATGGGACAGCTCCAGAGTATCCTGGAGTGCTTTTTAACAGCCATGGGGCAGCTCCAGAGCAGCCTGGAGCATCTGTGGGTTGGGATAAAGTGGGAAGAGGTCACTGCTGATCCTGGCACTGCTGATCCTGGCACTGCTGATCCTGGCACTGCTGATCCCTGGCAGCTCCAGGAGGGTGGCACTGCTGATCCTGGCACTGCTCATCCCTGGCAGCTCCAGGAGGGTGGCACTGCTGATCCTGGCACTGCTGATCCTGGCACTGCTGATCCTGGCACTGCTGATCCTGGCACTGCTGATCCCTGGCACTGCTGGAAGCTTTGGCCCGGTGCTGGTGTCTCTTGCAGGGTGCAGCTGGAGGCAGAGGGCTCCTTCCAGTGCAGCGTGACGGGGCTGATTTTCGAGGTGGCGGGGGCAGCCAGGGTCACCTACTCGCTGCTGTCCTGGAGCAAGTTCGCCGCGCTGGTGCAGCAGCCCTGGATCGTGGGCGGGCCCCTGTTCGACGTGCGCTGCTCGGCGCCCACCGCGCTGCGCTGCATCCACTTCCCACACTGCCTCTGCCTGCGCGGTGAGTGCGGCCCGCTGGCCTTCTCAGAGGAGAAATTATTATTATTATTATTATTATTGTTATTGTTATTGTTATTGTTGTTGTTGTTTTGTTGTCGTCGTTGTTGTTATTGTTATTGTTATTATTATTATTATTATTATTAGTGCTATTACTATTACTACTATTACCATTATTACCATTATTATATTTTTATTTTATTTTATTCTTTTATTATTATAGTTTCAGTATTTTAGTATTTTTAGTATTATTCGTATTATTCATATTATTCGTATTATTCGTATTATTAGTATTATTACTATTAGTATTTAATTTTATTTATTTATTTATTTATTATATTTTATATATAGTTATATTTTGCATTTTATAGCTTATTTGTATTTTATTTATATTTTGGTTTATATTGATATGTTTTTATTTTATATATTTTTATATATTTATATATTAAATATATGTATTATACTTATAGAATATATATTCTATTATGTATGTGTTATATAAATATACATAAATTTTATTATATTTATATATTAACTTTATTTTTTTTATAATTAAGAATTATTTATTTATTTTTGTCATATTATTAAATTTATTATTATATAATAATATTATAATAGAATATCATTATATAAGAATAATTATTTATTATCATTCTTATAATTATTATATAATTATATTAGTATATAATAATATATCATTATTATATTCTATTCTATTACATTACATTATATTATATTAATTCTATAATTTTTATTTTGTAATTATTTTAGTATAATAATGATATATTACTATAATATAATAATTATAATAATTATTCTTCTAATATGACAATAATAATAATAACAATAACAATAACAATAACAATAATAATAATAATAATAATAATAATAATAATAATAATAAGTAGTAGTAGTAGTAGTAGTAGTAATTGTTATAGTTCCCCTCCCTCGGAATTATTATGAAGGGGCTCTCAGGCAAAGATATGGGAGTAGGAATAACAGTTCTTTATTAGGAAAAGAATAATAAAAAAAACAGACAATCATTGTTGAGGGAACTAAAAACAGGTTTCAAAAGGTGGCCTTACAAATAACACTGAATGCTTCAGAGAAATAGAACTGTGAAAGATGCATTGTAGTAAAACCCACGAAAAGTAATTTTAAATGATTAGCCTTAAAACATTTACAGTATAGTGCAACAAAAGCTAATAAACCAAACAACACTTCTAATTAAAAAATAATTAACTTCTAATCATAATAACGTAAATGGTAACATCTACATTATCTCACCCTTGCCATAAAACTAAAAATTAGATTGATTAGAAGTGGGAATTTTCTCAGCCATGCTGGGACACTCAGTGGCCATGAACAGAAGATAATTAATAATGAATGGCCCATGAACAGAAGATAATTAATAATGAATGGACCAATAACAGGAGATCTCTCCTGGAGGGAGGATTGGCTGTGGGAGAGCTAAAGCAAAGTGCCCCATGAACAGCAGAGAACGAAATAAGTACACAAATGCTTGGGAAGTTCAAAGGCTGAAAAAGAGAGCATTTTATTCAAACATCTGATATTTATCCAATTCCAGAGGTGACAGTGGATTGGAGATGGAATTGCACCTCTCCAACCACACTGCTCAAACCAACAGTCCGTTAATTCTCCCCTCCCACAAAGAAGAATGCAAAACAATTATTATTCATGTAAATAGCGTGTGAGAACTCCAGTAGAAATATGTAAATGTTGTCAGAAGGTTAACGAAGTTTTATGAGAACTTTAAGACTTTCAAAAAAACTATTAAAAGAAAACTTAACGCTTTTAAAAATCAAAACAACAGATAGCTCTGACAGATGGGGATAGGACACACACCCCCAGGCACAGCTGGACCCAGGGACAAGTGGGGACATCCTGGGAGCACTTGATAGTAAAAGGGTTTTAAAATCATGAGATTCAGGGTTAACAGGAAAAATAAGCTTAGTAGGCCTTGGAAAGATAAATACCTTTAGCACAGGGAGAAATAGTACTGTGCTATGTAGCTAGTTGATATAATTGTTAGATGTGACGACTGTTTAGTAATTAAATATAATTACTGTTTAGTCAGAAAGAATAATGATGTGAAACTGTGGTCATGGACCTAAGAGAGATCACTATAAACTCATGTCAATGTATACAATAGAACAATGTAAGTTTAATAATCAATGTGTAAGTTATATAAGGATAGAATATAAAATACATTCAGCTCGAAATCCATGGTGGAGTCAGATTTGGGTCTGCACCCCAATTCCCGGAGCTCTCAGTGAAAGCACCTGTATATAATCATATCTGTGATTCTGTGTGTTCCTAAACAATGTAATTTTAATAATGAATATGTAAGTTATACAAGAATAGAATATAAAATACATTCAGATTTGGGTTTGTACCCCAATTCCCAGAGCTCTCAATGAAAGCACTTTCAGATAATCACACCCCGTGATTCTGTGTGTTTGTGACACGCTGAGCCCGTGTTTGTCCCCACAGATGATGGTGGGGCCGGCGTGGCCTTCAAGGTGCTGCACATCAAAGGCGGCGGCGCGGCCATGGAGCCCTCGGCCGAGTTCTCAGCCTCACACGTCAAGTGGGTGGTGAGTTCCCTGTCCCCCGTGGGACCCCTGATCCACAGCCACCAGCCCCTGCAGTACCACGGCGCCGTCATCCTCTACAAGGCCATCGACGAGCACCCCTCCCTGTCCTTCTGGGTCTACCTGGCCACCAACAACGACTCCTTCATCAAGGTACCACTCCCTTCAGCAAGGGGTGGGAGCTGCCCGTGGGCTGGGTCCGTGCTTTGGGTGGGAAGGGGACTTCAATTCCAGCTCATCCCACCCCTGGATGGGCAGGGACACCTTCCACTTCCAAACCCCAAACCTGGCAGTGCCCAACCCCAAACCTGGCCTTGGGCACTGCCAGGATTCCAGGGGCAGCCAGCTGCCCTGGGAATTCCATCCCATCCCCTCCCTCCCAGGGACGATTTCATCCCAACATCCCCTCTAAACCCAGAGTCTTTGAGTTTTAAGTCATTCCCCCTTTTTCCTGTCACTGCATCCCTTGTAAATAAATTGTCTCTCTTGGAGCTTTTCCATTTCCATTCTTTATCTGAGTCTCTTCTCCTGGGTAGCAAGAGGAAACAGCCTCAAGTTGTGCCTTAGGTTGGCTAATAGGGGAAATTCCTTCAGGAAAAGGGTGGCCAAGCATTGGAACAGGCTGCACAGTGAAAATTTGGGGATTTGGGAAAGTAGCTGACAATGGATTCATCCAGCAGCTCTCCACTGGCAAGGGTCACGTCAGAAATAACTCTGAGGAGAGCAGAGCGTGTCTGCAGAGGAAAGAGAGGCTGTGGGACTAACCCTGGATTAAATCAGCTTTAGAAAATTCCTTTGAATTAGGAAATTGGGTTTGTGGGATCATTCAGGAGCTCTGGCGGCAGCAGGACTTTAATTCACCCTATCACACTGAGGACAGGGACAAAAACCTTCCTTTTATTCAGCTTGTAAACTCCCTTAACCTCATTTCACCCCCGTGGCAGGACAGCTGGGGAGGCTTAGTGATGCTTTTTGAGTGTGGTGGTTATTCCTCTGCTTTCTGAGAAGTTTGTGGAACAGATCATGGCCCTTCTGCAAAGCTGGGACCAGAGAACAGCCCAAGGAGCCACCTGAACACAGGTTTTAGATGTTAAATCCTTTACTGAAATGAGCAACATTGAAATATTAAGCTTGAAATGGTGTTTTTAAATTTTAGGATATCTCAAAGGCTGTAAAACACTCCAAAAGGAAATTTGTCCAAATTGAAAAGCCCCCTGTGTGCCAAAAGTTGCTGCAGGAAGGAAAGAAGTACAGACTGATCTGTGAGCCAGAAGCTGAAATAACTCCTGAGGTGAGTCCCTTACACAACCCTCACTTCCTGCACTGCAGCTTCCCTGGAAATGTGCCACAAAAAGGAACCATTTGCCTCTTGGAACCCTGAAATTCTGGGATGAAATCCTGATGCTAAAGTCAAGAGCAAAACTCTGAGGAAGTTGGAGTTTGGTTGGGATCTCTCCCAACAGCCAGTTGCCTTCCCTTCTGTTTATTTCAGGTGAATATTTACATTTATTTTACATTTCTGTTGTGCAGGAGATTGAATTTGTGGATGGGTCCCTGTTGAAGCTGAAGAGTTACTTCGAGGTGTATTTGGAGAAGCCTGACGACTTCACCTTGTCCCTGGTGGAGCAGGACTCGGATGAGACCGTGTGGAAAGCCAGGCTGAGAGAGAGTGAGCCCTGGGCCCTGAGGGGTGGGAGGACCTCAAAGCCCACCCAGTTCCACCCCAGGGACACCTTCCACCACCCCTGGCTGCTCCAAGCCCAAATGTCCAGCCTGGCCTTGGACACTTGGCCACAGCTGCTCCAGGCACCCTGTGTCAGCCCCTCTCCATGTTCCCAGGGAATTCCCAGGGAATTCCCAATCTCCCACCCATCCCTGCCCTCTGGCACTGGGAGCCATCCCCTGTGTCCTGTCCCTCCATCCCTTGTCCACAGCCCCTCTCCAGCTGTCCTGGAGTCCTTCAGGTCCCACTGAGGTCACCCTGGAGCTTCTCCTCTCCAGGCTGAGCAATCCCAGCTCTCCCAGCAGAGCTTCTCCATCCCTCTGCTCATGGAATGGTTTCATTTGGAACTTCAAGGCCATTTAGTTCCAACCCTCCTGCACATTATTCCATGTTATAACATATTACTCCATATATTATCCAGAGGATTGTATAATATAATAAAAAATTGCATGTTATTGCATCATAACTTGCAGTCTCTCTTGCCTGTTTGGGCCTGCTGCAGCAAGTGGAATCAAAGGGGGAAAATCTCCTTTTATGTGAGGGGTTGGAATGCAGTCCTTTGTGGATTCCAGCTTTGTGCCTGGGAATTCTTGGAGCTGGGGCCCAGCACTGGGAATTCCTGGCTGACATTTCCCTGCTCTGCCCTTTCCCAGGGGATTGGATCCATTATGACCAGAACAAGAACGAGCAGAAGAGGAGCACAGGCAGTGAGTGAGGAGCTGGGGTGGGACCCTCGTGCCCCTCTCTGGCCCTGGCCCCAGGGGACAGCGGTGACAGCGGTGGCAGCAGTGACAGCACCTCTGCTCCCTCCCCAGGTGTGAAGAAGAGGAAACCAGCCCTCAACATCCTGGAGGAAGAGGGACTCTGCAGCAAAAAGCAAAAAACTGGCAGCACTGCAGGTGGGGCCTGGCTGGGAAAGGACCTGGGTGGGATTTTGTGTTCTGGGATTGAGACTTGAGGTGGCTTTTTCCGAGGTTTTTCCCTGTGGAATGGTTCAGGCTTGGGGAAGGGCAGCTGGAAATGTGCCTGGTGGAAAAGGGGCTGGGGGTGATGCTGGACATGAGCCAGGGGTGGCCAAGGAGGTCCCAGGGCTGTCTTTTCAAATGCAGCTAAAAAAAGCAGTATCAGACTCTTCCAAGTGCTGGAAAATTGCTTCTCTCGCTGCTGCTTGGCTCATTTCAGTTCACTCTTTTGGGATGAGGTTTTTCTTGATTAGATTTGAGCAGACTTTGATTTAAACATCCGAAAGTGCCACAATAATGGTTGTTAAGTGTTTGGTGCAGGTAATGTTTGGAGAGCTGGCACTGCTGAGGCTCCTCCAGCCCTGGGGCACTTTTGGGTTCCTCACGAGGACCTGGAGGGGCTGGAGCATGTCCGGGGCAGGGAATGGGGTTGGGAAAAGGGCTGGAGAATCTTGAGGGAGCTGGGGAGGGGCTCAGCCTGGAGAAAAGGGGATCGGGGGGACCTTGTGGCTCTGCACAGCTCCTGACAGGAAGGGACAGCCGGGGGGGGTTTGGGGTCTTATCCCAGGGAACAGGGACAGGGGGAGAGGGAACGGCCTCAGGCTGGGCCGGGGCAGCCTCAGGGTGGGTTTTGGGGGAAATCCAATGTTTTTCAGATGGAATGGGAGCAAAAAGCTTAACGGACCAACAGCTGCTGGTGATTGCCAAGCTGCTGGACCGGAGCTGGAGGGAGATGGCCATCGAGTGTCTGCAGATAGAGATGAAGGACATTGATGACGTCCGGGCCATGGAGGAGGACGTGACCATGCAGAAGCTGCTGGTGCTGAGGAAGTGGAGAGAGAGGGAGCAGGGCCATGGCACTGCAGAGGCTTTGCAGAGGAGCCTGGGGGACAAAGCCACCTACGAGATCCTGCAGGCACTGCAAGGTATCAGCTCCGGGCACTGAGCCCATCCTGACCCCGCTGGCTTTGGGAATTCCATCAGGGAATTTTCCAGATCGCCCCTGCAGCCTTTGTTGTGCAGCTAAAATTGTCTCCTTTCCACTTTCAGCACTGAGTTTATTTATTGTGGTGTTTTTATCCTTCAGGGATGGGTACCAAATGAATATTTTTGCCCCGAGTGTGGAGAGCTCTCCCAGCATGACCTGGGTGTCCAAAGCAATTTTTGGGATTTCCTGGGAGTCCTAAGAGGAGCTGTTTGGGTCATTATTTCAGGAATGGTTAATTAATGGTTAATTAGCACCTTCCCTAATGGAGGACTTGGTGGTTCCATCCCATGTGGGGATGGATTTCCCAAGGGAGCTCTCCCTCCTTTCCATGGAGTTCTTAGGTTCAGTTCACCTTCTGCAAATCCAAGTTGTTCAAGGAGCTGGGAATTATCCCTGCCCATGGCAGGGCTTGGAATTAAATGACCTTTAAGGTCCTTTCCAACCCAGACCATTCCATAATTTTATTATAATGTGTAAAACACATTCTTTTGCTCTAATATGATTAATAGAAATATTAATTATCAAGATTTTTCATTCAGGCTCAGCCTGGTCAAGCAGAAGATGCTTTGAGGCGAAGGAGGAGAAGATGGATTTCTTCTTCCATTGGAAACAAAAAACTCCACTCACCAGAATTAAAATCCCAGAATCCTGGAATGGTTTGGGTTGGAAGTGACCTAAAATCCCATCCCATTCAGCCAGCCACGGGGAATTGTCCTCAAAAATTGAATTTTTTTTCTTTGGCAACAGCAAAACTTTGTTCTTTCTCAGTTCCTTAACTTAGAACAAAAGGAAATGGCCTCAGGTGGTGCCAGGGGAGGTTTATATTGGATATTGGGAATATTCCTTCATGGAAAGGCCTGGAGGGATTTATCTGAGGTGTGGATGTGGCACCTGGGGACGTGGAGCTGTGGTGGCCTTGGCAGTGCTGGGAATGCTCGGACTGGATAATCTTGGAGGCCTTTTCCAACCTAATTCCACGATTAATTCTCCCTGGAAGTAGCCTGGCTGGAAGAGGTGGAGAGTTCTCCCTCACAGCCTTGTGCTGCCTTAGGGCAGGGGGTTTGATACTTCCATTTTCCAAATTAAATCATTTTTAAATGCAAATTCTCTCGGTTTGAGTCTCGCAGGAGCTTCCAGAGATTCCCAATCCAGGTGTGTTTTTGCTTTCCCTCAGGTTTCTTGGCTCAGAGCTGAGCCAGCTGCGAGGAGGAGGAGGAGGAGGAGGAAGAAGAGGTGGGAGCTTCCCAACCCAACCCTTCTGCTCCCCTGGGATCCTGCTGGGATTCAGGAATGTTCCTGCTGGGAAGTTCAGGCAGGACCCTCCAGAGACACGTGGATGGAATTTGGTGTGGACAGGAGCCACTTCCAAGACTTTTCAGGAGAGGTGGATCCTGGAATTCCGTGTTTCACCCACAGGAAAAGCCACTCCAGGAGGACACAAACACTGGAAGAAACCACTTGATCTTTTTCATCTCCTGGAAATGATTTTTATTTCCATCAGGGAAAACCAGGGAGAAGAATTCCCCTGGAAACTTTCATCCCCTTCCAAAAAAAAACCACTGAACTGCCAGAATCGTGAAGTGCGTTGGATTTCTCATGGATCAGGGAAGAAGAATCCTAAACTTGTACCAAATTCCTTTGGCATAATCACTGTATATATGGAATTATTGTACAGATCCTCTACATCCAGTCCTTGTTAAGCTGTGGTTCTGCTTCCTGAAATTCCCAAAGATGGGAACACCACTATGAACTCCAGGCAGCTCGGAATTTCCCATGGAATTCCTTCTCCCCTCTTTTCTGTATAGCTTGTCTCCGTTTTTTACGTTGTATAATTCTTTTTTTTTTTGTATGAGAAACTTTTTATACTTCTTTTTTATTTTTTTTTTACTTGATTTATTTTTTACTTGGATAGAATTTAGGTGCTTAAAATGTGAGGAGCTGAAATCCCTGTGCTGCAGGATTGGAAAAAAATTTGGGAAAAATGGAATTTGCAGAAGAGAGGAGTGACCAGATCCAGGATTGTCTTGTTTTCAAGGCTGTGGGATACCTGGGATGATCTTCCTCTGTGTATGCTTGGGAAAGGAAAACATACTTTTGAAAAATAAGGATTAAACAGGGAAAATTTCCATGATTTCCATCTAATTTTGATTTTTTTTAGTTGGATGAAGTGTTGGGAAGTTGTTGATTTCCTGGGAAGAGGAGGAGGATGGAAGTTGTTCCTCAGCCTCTGGAAAAGCTGGAGGTGCCACCAAAGGCATCCAAATCCCAAAATCTTCCATCCCATTCCAGCCCCTTCCCTATCCCAGGTTTTTCCAAGAGGGAAACTTGGATTTTAAAACCCACCAGTTACAGGGAGGTGCCCTCCCGTGCCAGCAACATCCAAAGGATTTCAAAGGATTCATGGCGGGTCCCAAGGGACAAAAAAATCACTGTGGTTTCGAAGGAAACATTGATTTTATTAGGCAATAAATAGAATAAATAGGGAATATCATAAATAAGTCATGGACTAGAGTGGAATATCATCATAAATAAATCAGGGAATAGAATGGAATATCAGTGTAAATGAAGGAATAGCATAATAAATAAATCAAGGGATTATGATCGTAAATAAATAAAGGATTATAATAATAAATAAATAATGAAATAGACTGGAATCTCAAATCAAGGAATATCATCATAAATCAGGGAATCTAATGGAATATCATAAATAAATAATGAAATAGAATGGGATCTCAAATCATGGATTATCATCATAAATCAGGGAATGAATGGAACATCATCATAAATGAAGGAATACCATCATAAAAAAATCAGGGAATATAATCATAAATAAATCAAGGAATATCATAAATAAACCATGAAATAGAATGGAATCTCAAATCAGGGATTTTCATCATAAATCAGGGAATAAATAAATCCAGGAATATAATCTTAAATAAATCCAGGAATATCATCATCATAAATCAGGGAATAGAATGGATTAGCATAAATAAATAATGAAATAGAATGGAATCTCAAATAAATCAAGGATTATCATCATAAATCAGGGAATAGAATGGAATATCATAAATAAACCATGGAATAGAATGGAATCTGAAATTAAGGAATATCATCATAAATCAGGGAATGGAATATCGTATTATATCCAGGAATATAATCTTAAATAAATCAAGGAATCTGAAATTAAGGATTAAGAATGGAATATCATAAATAAACCATGGAGTAGAATATCCTGAGTTGGAAGGGATTCCCCAGGAAAAGGAATTACCATAAACAGCTCTCAGTTCCTGAGAAATCAGCGGAATAAACACGGAGAAATCCGGATTTGGAAGGTTTTGGTGCTCAGACGTAGATAAACCCCAAACCCCATTTTCAATTCCCATTTTAGGGGCTGCTGGGGATTCTGTGGGGCGGGTGCTCCCCCGGGATCTGCCGGGGTTCAGGGGGAGCTGAGGAAGCTCAGCACCCTACAGATGGTGACGCTGCGGATGCGCAGGGCCTGCAGCACCCCGCAGAGCCGCAGCCGCTCCGGGAACGGCGCCCACCCCAGTGATCCCGATGCTCCCGATGGTCCCAATCCCAGTGATCCCGATGCTCCCGATGGTCCCAATCCCAGTGATCCCGATGGTCCTGATCCCAGTTGTCCCGATGGTCCCAATGGTCCCAATCCCAATGATCCCAATGATCTTGATGATCCCGATCCCGATTGTCCTGATGATCCCAATCCCGATGATCCCAATCCCAATGATCCCAATCCCGATGATCCCAATCCCGATGATCCCAATGATCTTGATGATCCCAATCCAAATGATCCCGATCCCGATTGTCCTGATGATCCCAATCCTGATGATCCCAATCCAAATGATCCCGATCCTAATTGTCCTGATGATCCCAATCCCGATGATCCTGATGATCCCAATCCAAATGATCCCGATCCCGATTGTCCTGATGATCCCAATCCAAATGATCCCAATCCCGATGATCCCGATGATCCCAATCCTGATGATCCCGATGATCCCAATCCCAATGGTCCCAATGATCTTGATGATCCCAATCCCAATGATCCCAATCCCGATTGTCCCAATGGTCCCGATGATCCCAATCCTGACGATTGAAATGATCCTAATCCTGATGATCCCGGTCCCGACGATCCCCACGATCCCGATCCCAGCGGCGCCTCCGGATCCTGCCCGGAGCTGCTGCCCAGGGCCTGCACGGGGTTAGGAAACGCCTTAAACCCAAAAATTCCCGGGATTTTCACCCCCTCAGGGATGGACGGCAAGGCTGGGAAGGAAGGATGGGTCAAGGGGAAAATCTGGGATGTTTCTCATTAATAGGGGAAAAATTTGGGATGTTTATCATTAATAGGGAAAAGTTTGGGATGTTTAGTTTATCATTAATAGGGGAAAAATTTGGGATGTTTATCATTAATAGGGAAATTTGTCATTTACAGGGAAAAAATTATCATTAATAGGGAAAATTTGGGATGTTTGTCATTAATAGGGAAAACTTTGGGATGTTTGTCATTAATAGGGAAAACTTTGGGATGTTTATCATTAATAGGGGAGAAATTTGTGATGTTTGTCATTAATAGGGAAATTTATCATTTACAGGGAAAAAATTATCATTAATACGGAAAAATTTGGGATGTTTGTCATTAATAGGGGAAAAATTTATCATTTACAGGGAAAAAATTATCATTAATAGGGAAAACTTTGGGATGTTTATCGTAAATAGGGAAAACTTTGGGATGTTTAATTTATCATTAATGGGGGAAAATTTGGGATGTTTATCATTAATAGGGAAAATTTGGGGAGGTTTAATTTGTCATTAATAGGGAAAACTGTGGGATGTTTATCATTAATAGGGGAGAAATTTGGGATGTTTGTCATTAATAGGGGAAAAATTTATCATTTATAGGGAAGAATTTATCATTAATAGGTAAAAATTTGGGATGTTTAATTTGTCATTAATATGGGAAAAATTTGGGATATTTAGTTTATCATTAATAGGGAAAAATTTGGGATGTTTAGTTTGTCATTAATAGGGAAAACTTTGGGATGATTAATTTGTCATTAATAGGGAAAAATTTGGGATATTTAGTTTATCATGAATAGGGTGAGGGAGGAATTTGGGATATTTAATTTGTTATAAATGGACTGAGGGAAAAATTTGGGATGTTTAAATTAATGTAAATAGAGTGAGAAGAAAATTTAGGATATTTAAATTATCATTAATAGACTGAGGGAAATATTGGGGATATTTAATTTGTCATAAATAGAGTGAGGGAAAATTTTGGGATATTTAATTTATCATCAATGGAGTGAGGGAAAAATTGGAGATATTTAATTTGTCATTAATAATGTACATTTTGAAGCATTTAATGGTATCAAGAGTAGACTGAGAATGAAAATTGAAATATTTACCACGAATAGGGAAATTTTGGAAATATTTAATGATTGCATTAATAGACTGAGGATAAAGTATTTAATGTTATCATTAATAAGTTAAATTTTGAAATATTTCATTTATCATTAAATAAATGAAATATGAAATAAATTTTGAAATATTTATCAGGAAGAGATTGAAGGTAAAATTTGAAATATTTAATTTAATTAATAAAGTAAATGCATAAATATTTAATGATTGTATTAATAGACTGAGGGTAAAATCTGAGAGAATTATATCATTAATAAGGCAAATTTTCAAATATTTCATGATAGCACTAAAAGACTCAGGATAAAATTTGAAATATTTAATGATAGCATAAATGGGGTACAGATTGAAATATTTCTTTTACCCTGAATAGAGCGAGAGTAAAATTTGAAATACTGAATTGATCATTATTAAGGTAAATTTTGAAACATTTCACGATTGCATTAATAGACTGGAAATAAAATTTTGAAATATTAACTCTTACCATGAATAAGCTAAAATTTCAACTATTTCATGATCTCATTTATAGACTGAGGCTAAAATTTAATTAATCAAACTTTAATCCACCCTGTATCTGTTAGATTTCAATATTTGGAGGAGAAATTGAGTTTTTTTGGGTTTTTTTTCCCAATTTCCTGAATTTTGGGGGCAGGAATCCTCACCTCCATCATCCCATCGAGAGCTGCCAGGAGCTGGGGGTCGGGCAGGGAGCTCAGCTGTGCCCTGTAGGCTCTCACATCCTCAGAGATGCCCTGCAGGCATTTTCCCTGGGGAAAAAAAATATGGAATTATCAGGAAATGTTGGAATCTGCTGCTCATTTAAAAATACGACGAGAAAAAGAAGGAGTTTTTATGGGAAAATCCCATTTACCTCATCAAAAATTGATTTTTCCAGGGCTGGGCAATTTCCAGGCTGCAAATTGGAAGAAGAAATGAGGTTTGTGATTTAATGGGAGTGTGGGGGATGCGTTCCATGGGATGAGGAGGTGAAATTTAAAATTAATTTCTGTAATTTCTGTAATTTCTGTAATTTCTCTGTGTTTTACCCCTGCTGTGCAGGCTCGGAGGGTGTTGTTCTGGTCCTCAGTGATGTCCTGCAGATCCACCTCCTCGAGGCTGCACTCAAAGCCCAGGGTGTTGGATTCCTGGTGGGAAAAGGGAATAAAAAACGGCTCCTTCATGAGGCAATTTCTCTATTTTTATACATTTATCCCTAAACAGACACAATTTGATACAATTTCATCTCTCTGTGCTCAGATGAGCCCCAGGAGAGGCTCTGCGGGGGCTGTGGTTAAATATGAAATGCAGGGAATAGTTTGGGGAGCGTCTCTGACATCCTGGGGCCACCACTGATGTCCTGGGGACCACCTGGGGCCACCACTGACATCCTGGGGACATCCCTGCCCTCCTGGGGACCAAAACTGCTCCAGCATTTTCCACTTTGGTGTCACCAATGTCCCATCCCTGCCCTCCTGGGTGTCACTGGGTGTCACCAGTGTCCCATCCCTGCTCTCCTGGGTGTCACCAGTGCCCTCCTGGGTGTCACCAATGTCCCACCCCTGCCCTCCTGGGTTCTCAGCACCCCCCAGATGCCCAGCTGGTACCTGGGGACCATCCCTGCCCTCCTGGGGACCGCAATTTCCCCATCCCTGCCTGCCTTGGTGCCATCTTCACACTCCTGGGTGCCACCACCGG